TGATTTTTATGAAAAATACCAAACAGCTATTGATAACATAGCAGCTGACGCCGTTGTCCCAAGTATTGTCCACGACGACTTGTTTCGGTTGTTTCCAAAAAAGAGTAGTTTTAAAGCCTCGGGTTTAGACGGTTGGAAGGTTTCGGAGCTTCAGCAGTTACCACCGTCTGGATGGATCCCGTTTGCTCTTGTCATGAAGCTAGCTGAAGCCACGGGCATATGGCCAGAAGCACTTAAGCTTGTTAGCACTGCTTCAATTTCCAAGGGTGTAGATATGTCTACCCCTAAGAACATTAGGTGTATTGGCATCGCCTCTGTCATTTATTCCTTGTGGTCCTCGTTGCGATATCGTCATCTTGCGCAGTGGCAAGCTTCAGTATTTCCCCCAAGTTTAATCGGAGGCATTTGCGGACGCAACGGTGATGAATCGGAATGGCTGTTATCAATGGATCTACATAGTGAGCATACCGACACCATGGCACTGTTTTTGGATCGGTTCAAATGTTTCGATATGGTCATACCGCAGGTTTCTTTGGGTATTGCCAGACGTCTTGGGTTGCCAGACCACATTCATAGGGCTGCCTTGGGCTTTTATGCGAACCAAACCAAGTTCTTCAAATTAGGCTGTGCTTTCGGTAGGAGGGTTCTTTCCAGTAACTCGGCTGTGCAAGGCTGTAGCTTGTCCATTGTCATGGTTAATTCAGCATACGCAGTTTTTGCAACCGTCTTGAGCACTTTATGCCCTACTATTTCACTGAGATCGTTTATTGATGATGCCAAGTTTTGGACCCCAGAAAACAATCATGCTGAACTGGCTAATGCTTTATGCTGTGTTGAGCAGTTTGACCAAAGCATCGGGCAAGTTCTCAATCCGGAGAAGACAACGCTAATGACAAAACGCAAGGCAAAAGCTGACAGGTTTCTTCGTGAAGTTGGTCGTCAAAACTTTAGTCGTAAGAAAACTGTTAAATCTCTAGGCTTTACACAGTCGTGCAAACTCAAAGGCAGCGTTGCTATTCAGAATAGTAGGGCCGCTAAGGCTCGGCAGATGTTGCAGAAGATCGCTGTCTTACCTTTGTCGCAACAACAGAAAGAAATCCACATTCATTCCAATGCTCATTCCAAGTGGGTGTATGGCTCTGAAATACAAGCCCCTTCTGCGCGCGTCCTTCATAGCATCCGCTCAGCCGTTGTGGCTTGTTTGTTCAAAAAGAACCACGTTCGGTGTCCGTTTTTGAGTATGGCTACGCGAGCTGATCCTTTTCTTGACCCTTTTGGCAAATGGGTGTTACATGTGTTTTCGAAGCTTCGCAAAATGACCCGTAGCAACCCAGCTTTAGCAGTCAGAGTTTTGCAAGACGCTCAAAGGCTCGTCGGTAAGGTGCAACATACCAGCAATGGCGTTGCAGCAGTCTTTGCTTTTCTTTGTCAGGAGTTGCAATGGTCCTTTGTTGATGTCGACAACTTCGTCATTAAAACCCCGCAGCGCGGAGAAATCTGCTTAGCAGCGGGTAGCACACAATTCTTCAGAGAGGAGTTAGGCGTTGCGGTTCGAACTTACTTGTTACGCAAAGCTTTGACTGCCAGCTTCCAGCTAACATTCCGGACATGGACATTTTCTTGACCAGGTTTTTGATTGAGTCAGACTTCCGGTCTGATGAGGACTTCCAGTTCTTGAAGCCCTTTTTGCAGCGGTTGCCCTCCAATCATGCCCACACTCGTGCTATTCTTGAGTCGTTTATCACAGGCGGCATCTATACCGGACCGCGACTCAAAGCTGCTGGTATGACTCAATCGGATGAGTGTTGTTGCAAGCAGCACGCGGAGACCCATCAACATCTGTTTATGGAGTGTCCACTATACGCAGCTACCAGGCCAATCAGGGGTGAAGAGAATGCCGTCTCTTGGACAGCCGGCATTTTCTTCTCCCCGAGTGATGCATTTGCTTCGGAAAGGTCACGTGACCACTTGCTTGAGTTCCCCGAGATCTCCGAGACCTTCTCAGTTGACGAGCCAGTCTTTCTGGACGGGTCTGCTTTTCATGAGAAGTGGCAAGCGTTACGCTCCGCGGCATGTGCTGTCGTCGTTCCTGGTAAGTTTGAAATGTCGGTGCTCTTGCCAGGCAGGGATCTCACATCCCAACGTGCTGAATTGTATGCCGCTGTTTTGGCCCTTAAGCTTACCCATGGTTCGGTTACATTGGTCAGCGATTGCGCAGGGGTTGTCGACAGGGCGGCATCTCTGAAGCAACATGGCTATCGGTTTGAGGATATTGTCAAGTTTGATAATCACGATTTGTGGACATCTTTTCTTGAAGAGGTCCACAAAAGACCGAACTGCAATATTTCCTTCGTCAAAGTGAAGGCCCATGTTCCACGAGGTCACACAGGACAACCTGCATACTTGACGCGTGGCAATGAGCTTGCCGATCGGTGTGCCAAACGGAAAGCGCATGATGCTTTCGTCAAGAACTTGCAAGAGCTCAAGCCTTTTATCCAGAGAGCTGTTGACATTCAAACTCACGCTGTGTCAACACTGGTTTCAAGGAGAGCCGAGTCCGAAATAGATATGGCTCCAGACTGCACAGTGCCTGCGCCTTTTCGGGATACCATGATGTCTTGCAAGTGTTTGTGTCGCCCTACAACTCGGGTGATAGGCAAGTTGAAACCGGTATGTACTGGGTGTTGTATTATGCAAGTTGGGGGTTTGGAAGAGGCGCTTGTCGATAGTGTTTGTAATAGGAGTCGCTTCGACGACACAATCTCCGAGAGACTTTGGTCTCTCCATCCGGTATTCCGAAGAGTTGTGTTTTTCAATGGCATTCTCAGTCCTCCTGTTCAACCCGTCGACTGCGGTGTCATTAAGATTAGGAAGGCTCCTATATCTTCAGCAGCATGTCAAGCATTCTGTAGTTTCATATGTGATGGTCGGTGGAAGTGGGGGACTAAGCATACGCAAGATAGGACCTGCTGGGTTGCTCTCGCAGTTGAGTTTGTAGCGTCCTTTGGCCTGTTTCCAGGACTGTGTGATCAGGAAATGTCTGTAGGACTCCTTGTCCGTAGGTTCAAGGATGTGTTTCTTCAAATCATCGACAAGCATCATGTTAATGCTGATCACATAGTCGGCATTAGGCACATGAAGTCATTTGGGTTCGGAAATCAGTCCGGCCTCTCGTGTTCGAGGCAGTTTCGTCATCATGATAAGCTTTTGGCTTGGATTCTGAAGGTTTCCAGGGATATTTCCTGTTTAGACCGTACCGGGATGGCATAGCCCCCGGCAATTGATGTCCCAATAACAGCGCGTTTCCTCCTTTTCCGTTTCCACCCTTCGGCTTGCACGCTGATACCAGCGAAGATTGGTCCAATTCGACTCGCAGGAGGCTCGTGAGGCCGATTGCAGTAATGCCCAAAAAAGTTTACGACTTCGGAAATGACGGCATGTTGTTTCTTGCTCGAAACAAGTCATAGCGCGCGTTTCCATTGAATTAGGGCACTCACGCCACTCGCGCCACTCGCGCCGCTCGCCACTCGCGCTGTAGGCGAAAGGAACGAGTGGAACAGGTAACGTGCAGGGCTCGTGGAGCGAGTGGAACGGAACGTGCAGGGCTCGTGGAGCGAGTGGAACGGTCGGAGCGAGTGGAGCGAGTGGAACAAACGGATTAGCCCCCGGCGCCCACACTCTCCACTTGTTGCACTGGGAAGTGAGCAAGTTGTTCGCGGTAGTGGTAGACTTGTGTGTTAGGTCCCTATGATGTATTGTCATTGAGGAGTTTTTCAGTCACATGACGGTTGCAGCGGTGATCATCCTGCCTAGCCCCTAGCCAAAACACCGTTCGTCAGGCTGTGCTCCGCGAGCCGGGGATGAGCATCGGAAAGGCCGCAGAACAACTTTGTTCTTTGTCCTTATACCCTTCTCTTGCCCTGCTTGTGTCTTGATGTCTTTTTCCTCATCTCTTCCTTCTTGGCCATCTTGGCAAAGATCGAATTCGGCTTCTCGAGCCTTTCTATGTTGCAGCCAGGTGTCGATTCTCTGCGGAGGCCCGGACTGGTGCCGGCCTGAAATCGCAAGTCGAGTGAGGGTACCAAAACCGGAGCCGCATGCTTCAGCCGCAGAACTCCCTCAGATTCTTACCGTTGCGTTGAGCATCCAGAACTGTGTGTTGAAGCAAAACGTGATGATGCATCTTACAGCTTGCCCTTCGGGCGAAACCTTGCAAGGTGAAGGTTCGCCAAAGAATCGACCCAGTTTAACGATGATTGACAAAGCTTCGCGTGTCTTCGCTTAAGGCCCACCTCCGTCTTGGCAGGGATCCTACGCCTGTCGCTCTTGGAGTGCGAGCTCGGAACCCTGCCGCTGACCAAGCAAGCCAAAGAAGCGATTGTTTCGGGTTGCGGGCTCTTTGTTGAGGGCACGCGCAGCATGCATACACGCGTTTTGTCTTTGGAAGGTCTGTTTTGTTCGTTCGAGCAGTGGAACGTAGACACAACATGCGCCAAACGTGCAGTGCCTGTGCTTAGACCCATCGTGTTCTTCGTGGCTGCTTGCTCCCTCTCGGGATCCTTCTACTTGAAGCAGCACGAGAGTGAGGTACATTTAGCACGGCAAAGGGCACTCCAGGGCCCCCATGCTTCCCCGCGCAGTCTGCGTGCAGTTGTGGGACCGGGCGGCCACCTTTATGATGTCGGCCACGGCCCTGAGAGCATGGACTGACGAGAGCCAAGATTCCGAAAGTCTTTTGTGTGAGGCCTCGGTGTTCCTGTGCATGCTGCTCCAGGCCTAGCAAGTCACATTTCCCTCTCTCTCTCTCTCTCTCTCTGTCTCTGTCTCTCACGGCGTATCACTCCTAGCTAGCCGCGCAAGGGACCAGGGGGCGGTTCTGCCATCGCAAAGTCAAAAAGGCTGCCTCTCTCTCTCTCTCTCCCTCTCCCTCTCCCTCCATCTCTCCCCTACCCCTACCTCCTTCCTCTCTCCAGTGTATTCTCCAAGTTCCTGCTCAGATCATGGGTGCCTGGGCCATACAGACGCAGTTGGACCAACGGGAGTGGGAGGCGCCTCTGGAGTCTCCGCCCAACTGTGCTTGCTTGAAGCTTTCCGGCTCCAACCTTTCCCTTTAGCGGTCCGCTGCTTCGGGCAGTTGACGAAGCCCTTGGAGCAGAACGTGGACTTGGACTGGCTGGACTTCCGCTGGCGCGAGATGTCCCGGGCGGTCTCCCTGAGGCCACGCCCCGGGCCCTTCCCCCCGCCTCTTCATGATCTGTGTGCGCCTCTCAGGTGGGTCGACGTCCCCGCTTGCCTCCGCGCTCTGACCCTCCTTGGAGTACTCATTCAGGCACACTGTCACTAGGCTAACTGCTTTCATTTGGTGTGGCATTGACTTGCTGATTCAGGTGATGGTGGGGCAGGTGTTCTACTGGAGGCTCGCATCTTCCGGAATCTAACCGTTCTTGAATCCTTCACAATTCCCTGTCCCAGCAGGTCGTCCTTGTGTGCTTCTCCCAGATTGGCCTCATCGCTAACCCGCGTTTCCACACCGTCAGCTCCGCCTCAGGTTTTGGGGAGTTCGAGGTCACGGACGACATAGACTCCTTGGAGTGGTGGGTGGACGGCCAATCAGGTCTCGTCCTTCTTCCAGGTGCACAGCAAGAGCCCAGTTGCCTTGCGAGCAGCGTGCGGAAAAGAACCCCTGCGAAAAAGGACTTCTTTGCAGCTGCCTCTCGATCGGAGGCAGGCGGTCGAGGGAGCGCGCAGCCTCGCCACCCCTCCTTTTGCCCGTGCCCCCCGCCCAATTCAGTGTTGAAGCCTTGCGTTGCTGTGCCGAGCGAGGCTGGGCCTTTTACTTCGCTTTGTCCTGGTGGCTGAAGCAGAAGCGAGCAAAGCCCTTCTCGGATATGGCGAAGCGACTGGAGACGATCGAGGTCAGGTGGAAGGAGCTCTTCAGTACATGACACCGGCCTCCACCGGACCTGACCGGAAGTCGCCGGGGAAGTGGCCAGGAGATGCGACGTGCACTTGCCGCGGAGCTTTCTGCTCATGGCGCTTGCAGGGACAACTGGGAGGCTGGGAGAAAAGGAGCCGGGAGCCATTCAGTCAGTAGTCGCCGTAGTCTGTGTGCCAGCTGAGAGGCTTTGAGGCAAGCGAACGAGACGGCCCAAGAGATGCTGAGAGAAGCACGCGTGATGGCCACCGAGTAGGGCGGTGCCGAGGCTCTCATAAACGCGCTCGCGATCACATCCTCCGGACCCTCCGTCCAAGACGGACCGGTAAGGGAGGTCCCCAACAGCGGATACCGTGCTGTCTCTATCTACTGCGCAATCACTGCTTCATGGATCGAGCGGCTTTTGTTCAGTTCCCACAAAGTCGCTGGGGCCTTTCACAGAAAGCCTCAAGACGATTCTGCAGGTCGCGCTGAAGCTGAGGCATGAAAGACTGAAGTAGCACTCTGCTTGCATGTGGGAGGTGTATACGCGTCGGCCCAGTCGACCCCACGAGAACTCCCGGAAGATTTCGTTGGTCAGAGTTCGGGAGGCAACAAACCTCGACATGCGGCGCAGACGTGCGCAGACCAATCGAATGAACGTGTATTTGGCGGTCCATCACTCTAAGATGATCTTCTGTAGTTACAGGGCTCTGCATTCATGGATGCCCTTGTCCTTCGCCCGACATGGCGCTGACACTGCCAGCTAGGAACTTACCAGGGGCAGCAGGTACAGCAAGCGGGACAGTTTCGCGCGGCGCAAGCTCCGTTGCTGCAAGTTCGGTTCGGATTCCGATGCTGGCTGTCCTCAAAGACTGCCCTTGAGGCGTTCTGAGTTTGTGCTATGATGCGTTCGCTGCTCGTGCTGTTGACTTCTTGCGTTCCCCGTCTCAACATCTGTTGAGGCAGAGCTGTTGGCTGCGCTGCCTCTCCTGGACTCCTAGACATTCGTTTTTTGGCAAGACCTCTCCGCAGAAAACAGCCGTGCGGACACACGATGCAGAAAATGACCAGGCCAACCTCTGGAGACTCGGACGAATCCACAGAGCGGCTCTGCGGCTTGAGCGGGGCCTTTGCGCCGAGGTCCCGGCCAGTTCGCAGTTCCCGCAGGCACTGGCGGCAGCCCGCAGCTTGCAGCCTGCGCCCAAGCGGCGATGTTTTGGGATGTCCCGGGCCGGTGCCGCGGGTCCGGTGCAAAACAGAGGCCCATGCGGCAGCGTTGGCGCCGCAGCGACCCGGCGGCCTCGTCCGAGACGGTGCCAGCGGGGCGCTGATTCCTCAAACTCGCCGCACGGCACAAGGACCTTGCCGCTTTTGCTTGCGCTCGCAACAGGCCGATGGAGCGAAGACGCTGGCAACCGTAGCGGTGATCGGCAGCTGCCCTCAGTCGACGTTAGAAGGCTGTGTTTTGCTGTGCCTTGTGGCATGTCGTCGCTAAGGCGGAGGCGTGGCCGGCCTCGCTTGCGCACGGCGCCTAGGAGCGCCCCTCTGGCGGCTTGGCGTGTGCATCGTGTGCACACTCCCACGTTCGTTGGCTTTCGCTTCTTGGCCTCGGAACGGTTTCAGTTAGCGGCGCTTAGTGGTGAGCGTCTTTCTTTCTCGCGCTGGCGGCTGGCGCAGGAGCTCTGGGTTTCAAGGCCACGGTCTTCGACACCGGGAAGCGAGGGCCCAGCGGCCCAGCTTGGCGAAGCGCTAACCGCCTCTCTACCGCGATCTAACCACCGGGCCACCGCCTATAGGCCGGGCGGCCGCGCCTCCTCTCGCACCTGGCACCATGCTCAGATGCTCTTGGCCACGCGGCCACGCTGCCTCTGCATGCTCTTGGCTCTTGACGCAGAGGCGCGGGCAGGTCTGTGACCATGCGAGTCAGTTCGTGACAGCCACGGACAAAGACTTCGCGGAGCTGCTCACGTCCTCAGGACTCGGGACCCGCGGATCGAGGGACGCAGCTGGCACAGCTTCTGACCTTGGTCAGGCGCTGTGCGGCCCTTTGGGCAGGATGGGCGTTTTGGGACGCTCAGCAAAGCGAACTTCGAGCCGCTTCAAGACGGCATCGAGCGCTGGGTAGGTCTTGAGGGTATGGGTGGCATCGTGCGGATGCTCGCCGAGGGCTTGGACATTCAGCAGGCCGGACGTTTGAGCGGTTGGAGATGGACTTCAGCCTCCGAATCTGCAGGATGTTTGGGTTCCGCCATCAAACGGCCTGCAGTGCTCCCGCAGCGACGGGCGCTGGGGCATCACCGTGCGCCCTCAAAACATTCCCTCCCTGCCCTCCCGCTTCAGTGCTTTTGAGGTGCCCGGGCCACAGGGCGGCCGAGAGGTGAAGTGGTTCGATGCGGCGGTCATCGCCCACAACGGCAAGTGCGCTGAGCGGCTGACGTCTTCGACCCCAGCCCAAGAGGCTTGTTCATGCCTCTCTCCCAAATCAATTGATAGGCGCATTGTGTATGCTGCGCTACTACAGATGCAGACTTAAGAGGGAGGGAGGGGAGAGAGGGGAGGGATGGCGCTTCTGCTGTTTTGTTATCTTTGTCTGTCCGTCACGCACTCACTCACCCCCCCCCCCACTAATGCAGTTCCATGAAGTGTCCTTGTTGCAGCTGCTCCAGACCACTTCCAAAAGTCAGACACTCTCGCATGGCTTAGGACCCATGCTGCTCGCACGCCGTGTTGCCAAGATGAAGCCTACCTGCCTACCGGCTTCTGGGACTCCTGGCCTCAACAATCCAACTGGGTTTGAACAAGAGCCGTTTACAACTTTCACACAATCCAGTGTTTTGCATATCTCGCCCGCAATAGGTCTTCTTTGTCTTTAGCGTCCTGGGGTGGTTGTTGGACGGTCAGCTCGTGATGATACCGTGCTAAATCATTCGAACGCACTCTGCTTCCTTCCACGTCATTCCTTCGCATTCAGTTCAAAGCCGTTGTTTGATGCTGAACACCCTAAGCCCTTGAGCAGGCACGCAACACCGCAAACCAGCAAAACGCTTTCAGACTCGAGACTTTCATGACAACGAAGTTTGCGGCAACCCTGCGCAGCATTTCATTGCCCACAGACTAACACCAGCTGGATAAGAAATGCCAGCTCCCAGCGTTGGGTAGCCTTTATTTCTTGCTCATTTCCTCGCCGGGGCTTGAGCCCATGGAAGTCTAGGTACTGAGCCACGGGCTTTTTGCCATTAGGCTAGACAGACGCCGCCAGGAGACTGTTCTCTTATACCTTACTCTTCTGATGCAACTGCCAGCACTTAGCCGCAGCCTAAAGTTCTTGTTTTGGCCTCTGCCCTGTGCCTAGGCTTAGGGCTTGGAAACCACCAAATAAGAAATGTAGCACCGGACATTTCTTTTGTTGGCCTCTGCTTGTGCCCGAGGCTTAGGGCGTGGAAACCATCAAAATAGAAACGTAGCCCCCTACATTGCTTAGTCTGGCCTCCAGGGTTCGGATCTGGAAACTACCCGAAATAAGAAGCGTATGGCCCCAACTACATGTCTCATTTTAGGCGTTGTCGATGCTTGGGAACGCCCAACTAAGACGACAAACCACCCATCCAAATACGGAATGACCCCAGAAAGTTGGGTACCCTTCACTTCTTAGCTGGAGGGCATTTTCAGTTTCTCAGCTTCTTGGCGCTACACGGCTGACGCAAACATTTCTTGTAGAGCGATTGCACTGCATTTCGCTTCTTGCAGGGAGGAATAATCTTCGAGCGAAATCGAAAACACACGAACCACTTCGCTGATTGGAATCTGTTGCGGATAGTTCCGGACCGTTTTGTGAGTTTGGTCCAGCCCATTCGGAAAACCAAGGGTCCGCCGTGTCGGGATATTGTTAGGTTTGGGGGTATAGGGTTTGTTCACAGATCCTGGACCTTCATTCGAACACCGAGCTCGGCAATCAGGTGAGTTTTTGGTTGCTCAGTTTCTGTTATTTGTTATTGTTTGTAAGTTTGGGTTTAAGATCGTCTGGCCCTTCTGCAATTTCTTTGTTGTTTTGGAGTTTGCCACAGCTTCTTGGCTGTTGCTGCCTGTCCGTAATTCATCTCATCGTGTACTGAGTTCTTGTTCATGTAAAACTGCTAAAGCCCATATGTTACTGTAGGGAATGAAGTAGCATATAAGGAATCTTCCTTTACATAGTCATAGAGAACGTACAGTATCTTCCCTTAGTCCTCAAGCAGGGTGTTTCGTGGGCACTGCACAAATGAAATGACGAAAAAACCTGCAGTTTCGAGTTTTTGTGGGCATGGTTTACGCGGCATTTAGGGCAGTGTCGCCAGTGATCAGGGAAGGTTTGACAAGTCAGTTTGGCACATTCCACTCTCTTCAGGTTGACTCGAAAGTCTTACTTCATCCATCACCAGTCCCGTGAGAATTCGCCAAGCCATGTGGTGTTTGCTCACTGCATATGCCTTCGCTCGAGTGGCGGCTGAACCACAAAAGGCACCAGATTGGCCTGGCCAGGGGCCTCTTTCCGAACTTCCCGATGCCAAGCATGACAGGGTTTTGGGTTTGGTACAGCTTTGAATTCCTTTGAGCACTGCCGTCTCCTCGCCCTTCCCCTCCGACACGCGCCACCTCAGAGCAGACATCCGGACCGCCCTCGCACTTGACCCACCAGCTCAGAGTCAGAGCTCACAAAGCTCACAACGCTCAGAAGATGTGCGCATATCACAATATGACACCTCTGCTCTCTTGCCTGACCTTGAATTTCTGCAGGTCCATGCGCTTCTGCGGACTAACTTCGCCTGCTCTCTGCCACGCAGATTGGCGGAAAACGGAAGAGCTCACACCACATCGGCACATATCGGCACCGGCACAACTGGCGCGTCAGGCAATCCGAGGCCTGGTAGTGGGAGATTCACACTGAACCAGATCTACTCTTTGCTCTTCGAGGCGGTGGCCTGCTAAAAGACTTGAAAAAGTTTGGTGGATCCGCAGGTTCCCAGTGGGCTCATGCCGGCCAGCTTCGACGCGGCGACGCTGTGCTGTGCTGCTGTGCACTCCCTCAACTCCTAGCACTGATCGTGCAGGCTTTCGTGGAGGACGAGCCCATCCTGCGCCGTGGCAGAAGAGGGAGACTCGATTGCACAGAAATTCACTGTGTCCAGCCATGAGGCGCTGGCTGTCGTCGAACACTGCGAAGCTCCGCCAGGGCGGTGACGGCGAGGCATCCAGAGGAGAGAGAAAGCACCACCAACACGACAACACGACAACAAA